CTCACACAGGAATTATACAGATCCTGTCACATCAAGGGCCCGTCTTGTTCGTCGAGTGCAGCATCAGCAGAGACAAGCACACAGGGCATGTCAGGCAAACAGTGTAAGCAGGACAGACAGGTCAAGAAATAGGCCCCAAGCGTTCGGATGACCGAGAACCGAAACCCCCCTCCCCCCCCCCTCTCGGAAGTTACATAATTCTCCAACTCTGGTGAACTACAAACACCTCGATGGCCCCTATTCTGTGACTGCATGCATGCTGCTGCTGCTGCTGCTGCTGCTGCTGCTGCCTGCGGGTTATATGTAATATGTACGAAATGTGAAATAGTTTCCTGCATCCACCTATCTATACATAAGGTACCGGCGTCCCATTTGCATCTACGTTTGAGGCGGGCGCACGTCGACAAATATAGAAGCGGTGCTGTTGCTTAACATGTTGATGGTGCCGAAGTATGTGAGATGAAGATGGTGGAGGGGGGGGGGGGGTCAAGTAGATCCTCGCAGTGATATGGAACCGCTTGGAAACGTTCTGCGGCAACCTCCTTTGCTTCTCCTCTTCTCTTGGGGGACCGAAATACAACTAAACTCATGGGCACCAATTTAACTGAACTATGGTGTATGCGTATATGCAAATATCGCCTTTGTCAAGACATATACTGCGTCTACTCACAAACGTTGCTGGTACACGCTTCAAAGATGGAGAGATGGAAGAATCATCAAGACCTCAAGAGGATTCATTTGTTTCACCCCTAGGAACGAGTGTAAGGAATCATTATAATCTTTCCATTAGTCAACGTAGTTGTAAGCGGGTGATATTGTTTGTTTCCCCCCTCTTGCTTCCTCCTTCCCGCTCCTCTTCCTTCTCCTCCTAGTCCTCCTCCTCCCCAGATAACAAAATCAGCCTTCGAGAGGCATTCAGCCCAACATCTCAATGGATGTTCAGGGGTGGGCCCAGTGTGAAAAGGGGTAAAGGTGAGCTCGCATGCTTGCGAGTGTGTGTACAACTGAGAAGAACAAAAAAAAAAGTACAAATTCCCAGGCCAGTCTTTCTCTTCGTTGGTCACAATACTTGAAACAGAAAAAAAGACACACTCTTATAAAGACGACCTGCTCCTCACCCCTTTAATCGAATGTGTGCCATTGTTTCGACATGATTTGAAAAGAAAACGCCTCATTCCCAATGCTTTCCCTAATTGTAGTTAATTGTATAAGTGGTGGTTTGTTGTGTTACTGCTTGCGAGAACCAGGCTTTTCCTCCCCACGCGATTTGTATGTGCGAATCCAGAAACCGGTCTCGACTTTTTTCTTCTTTTTCTTTTCTGGTACTTTGGTATCGGGGCAAGTTCGGGTTGTTTTACAGAATCGAAAAAAAAGGGACCAAGTTGTATTATATGTGTTTTGTTTGTTGTGATTTCGTATCGCCGAGGGGCCCTCTATTCGGACTTGGCCGCCACCGCGGCTCCCTTGCCCTTTGACGCCAGCAAACGGTTTTGCCTATCGCCCTTGTACCGCGTGTCGAGGGCGCGGTCCCAGAAGATGAAAAAGGGCTGAGAGAAGTTGGTCTTGATGCCCCACGTCTGGTGGTGGATGTCGTGGTAGGCGGCGTTGTTGCTCGTGATGTGCTGAAGGGGGTCCCAGGGCAGCGCGTAGCCGCAGTGGTCGTCGACGGTCTTGACGGTGGACAGGCAGAAGAATAGCAGTCCCTGCCTCGCGCTCATGCCGGTGAGGAGGAAGCCGATACCCGCGCCGAGGGTGTCGAGGAGGAAGCCCTCGAACGGGTGGTTGTAGAGGGCGCCGTAGGCATAGGGGACGTAGAGACGGTGGTGTCTCGAGTGGAATGTTGCTAGGAGGTTGTGTGTTAGTTGAGCTGGTTGCCACTTTTGCGCCGAACCACACCGGAGGCCATTCGGCCGAGTCGGAGTCCCGAGGGGTTGGGGGGGAGGGATTGGATCACAACTCACTGTACATCCACTTGTTTACGTGCATGAGGCGGTGGAGGAAGTACTGCCATGTGTCCAGGATAGAAATGGCGGCGAAGAGCTGGAATCCGGGAATGACGAGCCAGTAGATTGCCTTTGCGACGAGCAGTTCCCAGGCTGCGAAGACGGGGACGACGGCGTGCGATCCGTCGAGCTCGGTGGTGAGGAAGGGGTAGTGACCGCCGGCGAGCGCACCGGCGATGAAGGGGTGCGTGGCGGACATGTTCTTTGCGAGGGAAGCGGCGTTGAGGCCGAGCAGGCCGAGGATGGTGGGTAGGGCGCGCTGGGCGACGCGGACGCGGGTGGCCCAGACGGCGACGTCATAGTTCTCCTTGCCGGTGAATTGCTCCTCATCAATGTACTCGAGAAAGACGGACATGCCAACCTGGATGAGCTGCTGGAGGAGGACGTCGCGGGCGACCTCGTAGCGGGAAACGTGGTTGCGCTTGGTGATCTCCTCGGGAGTATGTAGGCGGTACTGGGGCCAGACGTCGTAGACGTCAATGACGTGGAAGAAGAGGGACAGGATCCAGTAGACGACGATGGGCAGGAAGATGCGCAGGTAGACGTCGGGCAGGCCGGGAATGAGGTCGGCATAGGGCTTGAGAGTGTATTCCGGCAGGGGCGGGAGGTCGCCGACGGTCGACGTGAAGTTTGCCGCCATCGTGGGTGGGATGGTTTCGTTTACCATGGCGGGTTTTCGGGTTCGGCGGTTTCTCTCGTTTGCTCGGTCGGTTCGGATGTGGTGGGATTAGGGATTGCGTCGGTCAGAGGAGGATTGAAATGTATGCTCGCGTGCGTCTCAAGGCGAAGAATCGGAGGAACAAAGATTGAAAGAAGAAAGTAGGGAGTGACGGGTTCGTGTGGCGGGTGAGGCGGTTTGTAAGGAGCGGACGGAAGTTGGATATATGAGATGCCAATCCTTGGGGGTTGCCTGTGCCAGGTAGGTGGGTGGATGGTGGTAGGGTGGAGGATGTCAAAGCAGAGAGCGAAGCACAGGGCTGAGACGGAGCAGAGCAGCAGCAGGCGAGTTGTAATTAGTAGTATGCGTAGTAGTGCGGTAGTGAGTGAGAGGACGTCGGGAGACTGGTGGCGAGTTGGTTCGAGGTTTCACTAGCTTGGACTAGCATTGGCCCTTGTTCGCAATGCGCCCAAAAAGTTGCAAGTATTCGCTGACCAGAGTGACTTGCGCGCCCGGTGCATGCGGTGCTTCAATGCGCCTGACAGTAGGTACAAATGGAGTTTATCTGGGTACCTTTGGTCTGTGGATTGTACGGATACCCAGTTGAGTCTGATTAGCGGCGACGTCGGGGCAATTTTTTCTCCCTCTACGGAGTACGCAGTAGTAGATCTCTTGCAAATATCCGTACTTTGGGTACTAAGGTAGGTATCCGCACGCAGGCGTCGCCGCACCGGGTTCCCAGGCCCAGGAATGATGCGCTTTTATCAATCTCGCTTGTGAAAAGGCGCGGGCCTCTCGCCTTTCGACCGTCTCCCGGCTTTTGCCACAGATCGAACCACAACAGTTCACTTGTCTCCCCGGCCTTTCGACCTGGTCAGTCGTGCCAAACTTCTATTGTGGAAATAGTCCAAATCCACGGCCGCGGTATCCGGTTAGTGAATTGTCAACAACACGTCAACGCGATGCGATGCCTCTCTTGGATCAAATCTTCGTCGTGGGCCTTGCAATTCAAACTCTTTTCATCACGGACGGACTTGCCTCGAGTACCCGTCACGGGTTTGCTCGCGTAAATTGCGGCGGGCTTTGCGGGCTTGCCCATGCTGTCATCACCTCTTTAACCATGTGCGGCTTGCTACGCTGCCGTGTCAGGCCACCGGGCCCTCCCCTGTCGATGCCGTAAATACGCGGACGCTTCGGTAGCTTAAGTAAGCCCGTGTTACCGCGATGCGATCGAGTGCCAAGCGCCAGATGGTGTCGTCTCCAGGAGAGGGGGCTTAGGTAAACCGCCAGGCAATTTCACGAGCATGATGCGCCCACTCTGGGCTCGAATAAGCGCCCCTTTTTTCTGATGATCCAACGACAGTGAAGGAAGCCTATCAGTGAGACCAAAACAACAAGAAGGATGAGTGAAGAATGAGAGGATGATGAAAGGTGACGAGGGGTGCTGACAAAGGAGGATCAACTTCATTGTTTTGTCTCAAGGGCGGTCCCTGATCATGAATGCCATCCCACTCCCAACCCATGTGTCGGGCTCTTTACAAAACACCAGACGATGTTACACGTCAGGAGTGTTCATGTGACCCGGAAGAACTGGTTGACGTGAGTTTGGGCTGGGCTCACCGCTCTCTCGACCAGCCGCAGAACGTAGTTGAGGCTATCCCAGCTTCAATCCCATTAAGCCACGACCTGCGGTGGATAACGTAAAAGGCCCTTCAGCGGCAGCGGCACCGTCAAGGGCTCGATTCCATCCACGGCTTAGGTAAGACACCCAGCTCACCTCGCCAAAATCAACACCACATGCTCCAGGTCATCCAGTCTTGGCCGAGAAAAAAACCCCAGGTTTGAATGATGCTCACCGCATCTGAAGTATAGTCAAAACTTACTTCAATATGCCTTCGCTTGAATGATAAAATATCAAAGTCAAATAATATAGTCAGCAAAGTGCTGTCGTAGGAGACCTTGAAAGGCGAACCTCATCGGGTTGATATCTTTTCAGGCTCTGGTCCCATGTCCCGCACCTTCAGTGTTCTCGCCCTTCGGGCAACCCGCCACATTGTTAGGGATATGGCGGAGACCAAAGGCTTGGGCACTAACAGCCTATGAGCACAGATACAGGAACCCTCCTGGCTTTTTTTTTTGCCGCCAGCCCAAATCAAGACTAGCTTAGAAAACCCCACCAAACACAGTCCCTCCCACTTGCCAATTTTGCGAACACTTTTCGCCCTTCAAAAGCGACCCCCCTCCTTTCTGCTCGTTCCTCCTACTTCTCCAGACCCAGACAACAAACTTGCCGTCTCGCCAATACCTCACCTCCTCGACACCTCAGACAAACCGCCAAGATGATTATCTACAAGGTACGTCCTTTTCATATCGTGTGGTCACTTCTCCTTGGGATAATGGGCGGCTTGTGTTGCTAGACAAAGCTGTTTTTACCCCTCCTTCAGAAACCCCCCGCCATTGGACGGCCGGGGGGTTGAAAAAAATGTCGATATTTTGAAGATGGGTAACATTTCGAATGTGCTGACCGAACAACCGCGACATAGGACATCATTACCGGAGACGAGATCATCTCGGACTCCTACGACCTCAAGGACATCGATGGCATTGTCTTCGAGGCCGACTGCGCCATGATTACCGAGGGCGCCGTCAGTGTCGGTTCGTGAACCACCCATTCACCCACACCACCCCTCCTGGCTGGGCGCTTACCCCGCGCGCTTCCCAAATCCATCGATATATATATGAAAGAACAAAACATTCTGACAGAAGCGACTCTCACACAGACACCGGCGCCAACGCCTCCGCCGAGGAGGCTGACGAGGGTACTGAGGACGCCGAGATCAAGGTCAACAACATTGTCCACTCTTTCCGCCTCCAGTCCACCCAGTTCGACAAGAAGAGCTTCCTTGGCTACCTCAAGGGTGCGTGAAACCATCTCATGTATAAATGAAGGCATTGTTGGTGTACTGACAAGCTTCGCAATTAGGCTACATGAAGGCTGTCAAGACTGCCCTTCAGGAGAAGAACGCCCCCGCCGAGAAGATCACCGCCTTCGAGAAGGGTGCCCAGAAGTACGTCAAGGAGACCCTCCTTCCCAACTTCAAGGACTTTGAGTTCTACACTGGCGAGTCGATGAACCCCGATGGAATGTAAGCAAAATCCTTCCCCAAGACCTCCTCGATAACCCGCCGCAACCGACGCTAACCTGCGCACAGGGTCGTCCTCCTCAACTATCGCGAGGATGGTGTCACCCCCTACATCGTCGTCTGGCAGCACGGCCTCGAGGGCATGAAGGTTTAAATCTCGACACGGAATTAGTTCTTTCCCTGTTGTATTTTCTCGAGATTTTATCGGTGTTTGTTTTGGGAGACCGAAGGAATTTGACGTCTTACAAGAAAAACACTTTTGCTATAGCGTACCACCCATCTGCTTTGGCATATATCCCTTCAAAAGCCCCCGTAGCAAGCAAAAAAAATAAAAAGCGCACACCCGGCGTCGGCCGTGCTTATGATCATATGAACGAAACAACTTTTTTGCCTTATGCATTTGCTCGACGAGCTTCATTCTATACGAACACTGGAAAGATATATGATGCTCCCACAAAGTGGTTCTATTTCTTTTTTGATACAACCCCGCAAGGTCAAGTAGCCTGACCATTAGCAAAACGCCACAGAATGCATTGGCCGGTCGCAAAGTAAAGTGCATGCACCAACTCAGCCTCGGAATCGTACGTGATGTCCACCAGCCACCACCATCACCTCACAAAACCTGCTCAGCTCAAAACGTCGGCTTGGTAGCCAAGGGAATCGGAGGAGGTGCGTCATCGTCATCACCAAGGCCAGGTGCTCGAGGCGAAGGCGCGGGCAGCGGTGCCGGTGCTCCAGCCAGCTGGGGTTTCTTCTTTGGGGGCGGCGGCGGAGGCGGCTTCTTCTTTCCGACTGCGCTCGCCAGCCCAGGCGGAGGTGACAACGGGCTCGGCGCCGGGCTGGGTGCCGTGGTCGTAGTAGTCTCCGCATTAGCCCCGGCCTGCTGCTGCTGCTTCTGACCGACCTGGTCGTTGTAGAAGCTCTTTGCCTTCCCGGCATAGTTCCCTGCCTTTTCCGTGATGCCGTATTTCTGGTTAAAGTTGTTGGCGCTCTGGTACCCGGACTTGACCTGCTCGCCGTGCCGCTGGCGAAAGTTGTTGAATGTCGACGCAGCGGACCGGGCGTCCGAGACGGACACGGACGACGGGTTCTTGTGAAAGTCGGCTGCGGTGCGCAGCGCGGCTTGCTTCTGCTCCGTCGTGGTGCCCTCTGTCGGCGGCGGGGTGGAGGACTGGTGGTTGGCGGCGGCGGACTTGCCCAGCTTGGCGAATCTATTTTGCAACTCGCTCATGTGGCCGCCGGTACTGCTGCTGCTGCTGGCAGGCGGAGGCGGCGGCGGTGAGAAGGCTCCGGCCCGGGGAGGTGGCGCGGGGCTGCTGGCGTTGGATCGGGCCGGTGGTGCGGGCGCGGACTTTCCGATGCCTAGTGCGGATACAGAAACGCCTGCTGCTCCTAGTCTGTTCATCGCGTTCTGGTTTAGGTATCCTCCGCTGCTGCTTGACGCCTGTGGTGGTGCTGGTGCTGGCGACGCCGGTCTCGCTACCGACGAAGCGGAGGGTGTTCTGGGCGGCAGTCTCGGTGGTAAGCTCGGGGGCGGCGGCCGTGCGGCGGCGGCTTGACCCGGCACCGGCGTCCGTCCGTCGGCGCCATCCTTTCTTCCCGGCGGGGGCGGCAGATGGGCAGTCGAGAGGCCTGTAGTATCTGTGCGCCACGGTCTGGGCGGCGCCGCTTCTTCTTCTACGCCTTCCTCGTGTTGCTGCTGATATCGGGTCGAGTCGTCGTACGGCGGCGGTGGTACGCCAGGTGATGTTGCGTTGGAACGTGATGGCGGGGGCGGGGGTGCAATTGTTCCCGGGACACGCTTCGGCGGCGGTGCAAAGGTTGAGGGATCTGCGAGAGATGATAGGGGTCTGGCGACGCGCTCCTCTTTGTCGCTATCCGTTTTCCTTCCCAACAGGCCGTTCTGTCGTGTGTCTGGTCAGTTACCCTTTGCAAATACAGAGACGCCCGCCCGGTGACATACCATTTGGCCCTTGAAGGTGGTGCCCGGCTTCTCGGGGTGCCAGCCATTCTTCATGAAATTTCCAAAGTTCGACGACATTGTTGCGGAGTCTGGGTCGAACAAAGGGAAAGGGGGAAGAAGTGTTGCTGTTGACTCGTACCCTTGGCGTGTGGAAAGGGGAGATTTTGTCGACGACAGGTTGTGCAATTAATGTAAAAAGCACTGGTGGAGGCTCGCATTGCGTCGTCTCCCGCGGTGGTTCTCTGTCAGCGCTCCATCCTGGTTTCCTGCGTGACGTCGCCCCGAGGTGCGTGGCAGTGTTACCCGCTATCGAAATCGCTAAAATTACGGGTGTCGCCGTGCTGGGCCGCTGGACTGGAAATTCGGGGGAGGGTGCCCCCCTGCTAGGCGCCTTGCGATTCAGGCCTTCATCCCCCTCCTCTTAGGTTCTCGGGGGAATAGACCCCTCGGTCGATGTGCCTTACCAAATATTGACTTTCGTCGCGTCCGTCGCGTCTTTGGAGACGGCACTTTGTCCGCCCACTCAATCACGAACCTCTCCCGACAGGCCCACCAGCCAGTCGATTGAACACGATGGCGCAGCGCACGATAATCGACGTCGAACTTTTGACGGAACATCTGGGATACGCACCAATTGTGAGTCTACCTTTGGCCCAGGGATCGCGCGGCGCCTCAGGACTAACATCTCCCAGTCGCTCCTGGACAGCATCATCAACAATGTCAACGCCGTAGCCGACAAGACTCTCGACCGCGTCGAGCAAGGTCTCTCGAAAGCGCCTCCGAAAGCGCTCGGGTTCGAAAAGGCGCTGAAGCAGAAGAAACGGTCCGCGGACGAGGTTGTCGACGTCGAGGAGACGGCGAAGCTCGAGATCGTCGACGGCGTCCACAAGCTGGAGACGCTGCTGTGCGCGGCGATTGACAAGAATTTTGACAAATTTGAGCTCTACGTCATGAAGAACATCCTGAGTATCCAGCAGAGCCAGCGAAACTGGATGCGCCTCGCCCACTACGACGGTCTGGACTTCAACGCCACTCACGAGGACGCGCCGACGAGGGAGAGCGTCGATGCGCTGAGGAGGAAGCTGCAGGCCAGCCAGCGGCTCAACGTGATGCTGCATGCCGAACAAGCAAAGAATGCGGCGCTACTGGCGAAGCTGCGAGGGGTCATTGGCGGTAAGCCCGCCGGATCCAGGGCTTCGCTGCTGGGACAGGTCAAGGTCGAGGGGTCCGACGATAGGGCGCCGTTCCAGTTCCTGCAGGAGAAGGGCGACTTGGCAGACGGGGATTTCAAAGCGCCTATAACGACCACGACTGCCTTCAATATGTCGCAACTCCAGGCGCTGCGCGCTTTATCGACGTCGCTGCGTAATATCATGCCCGATCTTAAGGACCCGTCCAGCACCGAGGACGGCCCCGAGAAGCAAAAGAGCTGGAGACGAGAGAGAATGGAGTATGTCGAGGGAGCCACGCGGAAGCATCTGGAGCATGTGCGTGGGCTGGAGCTCGGCAAGGATGGCGATGTGCGCGATGGCGAGTGGCAAGGTGAAGGCAGGAAGTTCGCCATGGGCGAGGTGGAGGGGCTCGAGCAAGTGGTTGCAGCGCTTGGGGGAGGCTCTGGGGAATCTACTGAGCAGCCCGATCCCGACGCAATGGATGAGTCATGAAGTGAGCATTCGGATGTCAACTTCTTTGAGAAGATTGAAATGAACTCGCAAGCTCGCCACCGACAGAACATGCCGCGGGACACTGGCTGCTAAAAGCATGCCTAACGGCATGATCATGATCCTAGCTGTGATGCCAGGTCGGGCGATTTGGCTCTCGCGCAGAGTGCCCATCTGCTCTTCCCCAGCAGGCTATCACTCAGCCGCATCTCAATCGACGTTGAGAACTGAAGGGAAGGCGGCAAGTTCGATCGCGCCACCTGCTACACCCATGGCAGGATAGAAACTCGATGTGCCTGAGGCAAGTAAAGCTCGCTGCTTCCCTTAGCCAAGCACGAAAAGTTGCAGGGCAGCTATCTAAGATACCGTCACTGTTGGGGCATCGACAGGGAACGAGAATTCACATGGACCAAGGCCATGGTGTTTTGTCAATACAAGCTGGGAAATAGTAGCCGACAGACGGCTAGATGATGCACACTTCCCTCATGTCGAATTTAATTCAGGAGAGGGGTCGCGTCCCTGCTCAGGCGGCATCGCAAAGGACATAAAGCTTGGGGGGTGTATGGGTAGATCCACATCACAACTTGTTGGAGTCAATATACGTGGAATTAGACGTGGCTCAACCGAGAAGGATTGCAAGGAGGGAGGACAAACGGGGAGAAGAGGAACCTCAGGCTCTAGGCCCATTCTTGGAACCTGAACACACCAAATTCATTCATATTTTCCACCTGTGGCTGGCAAGAACCAGAGTTTTACCTCACGATCAACTTGGAGGGGTCCTTCTTTCCATCGGACACAATCGGTCAAGAAAGGAAGTGACGCCCCAAGTAGTACCGGGGCTCCTACCCGTCGGTGAGTTGAGATATCCAAGTGAGGCAAGAGGCGGACGGAAACTAATATTTGAGGAAGGAGCAATAACGACCTGCCAAGGTACTTGAAGTTTACTTCGCCTTGACACAATCCGTTCGTTTTTCTTTCACTGCCCGTCAGCATCACCCGCCAACACCACTCAAGCCCCTCCGCGTTATGTGCCTCTCTTCCAAGGTTGACGACCAAGATGCCGCCTCACTTTCCCAACGAAGTCCTCCTCGGAATCACAAGGATCCTACGATATCCCAAAACAATAAACAAGCGCACCAATGGCCCAGATTATGCCACATTGTCCAACCTGTGCCGCGTATCCAAAGGTTTTCAGCAAGTGGCTGAGCCCTTGCTCTACGAATCGATCTCTCTCAGTCATGATGGACTCAGCGCTTTCGTGGTTACTGTCGAACGCAAGCCCTGCCTTGAAGGTTATGTCAAGGAGCTCAGCATTCCCAGTGAGGGACTTACTGGTCTCACTCGCCTCTGGCTTCGGAAGCGACTAGAAGAGCGGCAAGACTCTGCCGAACATATTTCTTTCAAGCGCGCCATTCAACTGGCTTTGGACGTGTTCAAGATATGGCCCTCGGCTGATCCTGAAACCATCTATTTGCTGCTTCTCACTATGCTGCTCCCGGAGGTCGAGGTCTTGCATTGCGCACCCAACATGTGCCCGATGCAATGCATCACCAATGTGGACCACCCCGGGCCCTTTCCTCGTCTACGAGAGGTTCATATCGAAGGCAGTGAGCCTGATATAATGGGGTTTATGGATTCTACGCCAGCCAGTTTGTGCGAACCTTTTCTCCCGCCGACAGTGCAAATCTTTGACGGCTTTGGTGTCGACTGGCTGGCGCCCATCAAATGGCGAGGGACGGAACGCATGGCGTTGAAGACAGTACGGCTTCGAAGCTCGCTGTGCAATGGGACAGGCGTAGCGGATCTTCTCAGCCACTGTCCCGACCTTGAGAGTCTCAGCCTGGAATGGAGTAATGAAGGTCTGAATCGCTTTGAAGGGGACAATGACTTCCCCTACTACGACGAAATTGGCGAAGCGTTGAGACAATACGGCAAGAACATCCAAGAACTCGAACTGGACTGTCTTGAGGAAAATTACTATAATTGTGACTACCTTCGAACAGTTGAAGAACTGGAAGAAGAACGTATCGGTTCGCTGCGGGAATTGATGCGGCTCAGAACGCTCCGGTTGCCCCTCGACCTGCTACTTGGAAAAGACGACTGGATACCTCATCTGGAAGAGGAAGATCATGAGACTGGGCCGCAGATGCCGACCCTGACCCTCAGCGATGTGTTGCCTAGATCGTTGGAGACACTGGAGCTGATGAGCTGTCCATGGAATGGGATAGAGCATTTGCACACTCAGATACATGACTTGCTAGCAACCGGACATATGGCGAGTCTGCGTTCCATTTCGGTGGAACGACACCAGGGTGGATTCCAATGCGACATCGCTCACCTCGGCTGGAACGCCAGCATTATTGAACACCGCTTTACGAGCCTGAACAATCTGCTCATCACCAAGAAATACTGCTCTCGGGTTGCACAGGAACTTGATGGACCTCCCTGATGAGACCCGGAAGCTGGACTCAGGTGTCAAATGTGGCCCAAAGCATCAAAGATACGAATTAGGAAGGGATTGAAATGTAATGAATGGTTACGAGGACTGCTTAGTCTGGTAATCTGAGTCTTTGGGTTGCGACGGTGCCAAGTCGGTGATACAGGACAATAGTTCGCCTCTCAATACATTACCTCTGTTCCCCCTACTACTGCCGTTGTTGCTGCTGTTGCTTTTCAATCTCTATATCCCTTCGAAAATATGCCTCAAAAAATGTTGTCAGAGGAGAATACTAGAAACAATGGTTACAGGAAGGCAGGCACTTGTACCTGGACCAGCACCCTATTCTGTCACCTACATTAGATGTTCAAGGCAATAAGGTCCCGTGGTGACCTGGTACCCACTTCCGGGCCGGTCCATGAGTCGGCAGCGTCACGGCTTTCTACTGGGCCGGAGTCTTTGGTGTAAGGTACATTGCCTTGGAGATCTCACGGGTACCTTACTAAGATGGACCTTATAAACCACCAGACTGGAGGTATTATTTTTGAATTAATGGAACGGAAGTCTTAATGTGGGCAATTCACTTGGACTCAAGGCTACTAGCCTATATCCATAAGATTTGCTCCTTGCTCAGTGTACCACAATGACAATTCACTTGCCCAAATATCCCGCATCAGAGCCGCTACATCCATTGCATCGCTCGCTCTTCTCGCCTCGTCGACATCAATCTCCCGAGTCTTCCTGGTCTATCAAGTTAACTCTCGGCTATCCTCGCAAGCCAAGACGACAAGGCCTAGCACCTACTCTTCTGGGTGTAGCCTCGCATCTCCGCGTACGACGTTGCAATTGAGTTTACTAGACCCCCTTCAGCACGCCGAAAAGAATGATATACAGAGCGTCTGCGAAAATGCTACGCTGGCCCGCGAGATGTCGAGACTCGAGAGCGTCATACAAGCATCTCGGTCTTGGCTTGCATGTTTATCAACCGTTGACCCCTCATTTTTTGCCCTTTAGGTTCGCCAGGGCCAAGATGGAGATTTTGCACGATTCACAGGGCGAGAAAAGGTGAATGAAACCGCGCAAAGATCCGCCGGAGATGTCTGTATAAAAGCGTCAGACGCCAGTCGCTCGTACTCATCTAAACGGTGGACGATCTTTCAGTGAATTGGCGGTGTTCAATTCAAAAAAGTCAACATGAAGCTCACAGCTGTATTCGCCTTCATCGCCCCGGTCATCGCCCTCGCCGGCAACGGTAGGATGACGACGCCCCGAGACGAAAAGGTCAGCTACGACGGCTACCAGGTCTACCGCGTGCCAACAACCAACGCGCCACCAAATCAACTCGCCCGCCTGCGCTCGTTCCCGTCCATTGACCTGAAGGGCTCCGTCGAAGTCGCGATCCCGCCCAGCGAGGTTGAATCACTCAAGTCTCTAGGACTGCTGGACGATGCGCAGCTTCTAGACGATGACCTCGGGCGGGCGATCAGGGCCGAGTCCGAGGCCGAGAAGAAGCCCGGCTTGACCAAGAGGGGCGAGCTGCCGGACCTGAGCTGGTTCGACTCGTACCACGCGTACGACGACCACGTACAGTACTGGAGGGACCTCCACGCTGCGTTTCCCGACAACTCGGAGTGGTTGGACATTGGTGCCTCGTATGAGGGCCGCAACATATTCGGGTTGCGGCTTTGGGGAGGCGAGGACACTGGGACGAAGCCCGTTGTCCTCTGGCATAGCACCGTTCATGCCAGAGAGTGGATTACTACAATGGTATGTGAGCCCGTCCCAGGCGTTTTCGTGAGTGAGGTTGTTGATGCCCGCAAGCAGACTGTCGAGTACTTGACCTACCAACTCATCGACGGCTATAAGTCTGGAGACCGAAATGTCACAGCCTTCTTCGACGCCTATGACTTTTATATTGTGCCCTTCCACAACCCCGACGGTAAGTCAAAAGCCGTCTTACCAAGCCCCTGTCCAAATCACTAACAACATCACCCTCCGTGTCTAGGCTTCGTGTATAGCCAGACCACAAACCGCCTCTGGCGCAAGAATCGCCAGCCGCGCTCCAACACGACCTGCATAGGCACCGACGGCAACCGCAACTGGAACTTCCAGTGGGACTACCCCCTCGAGGACGGCAGCGTCTCCGCCGACCCGTGCGGCGAGACGTTCCGCGGCCTCGCGCCGGGCGACACGACCGAGAATGTCGTCCTCTCGGCCCTCTCGCGGGAGCTAGCTGCTACAGCTACCAACTCCACCGGTGGCGGCGGCATCAGACTCTTCATCGACTGGCACAGCTACTCGCAGCTGATCCTCCTCCCCTGGGGCTTCTCCTGCGAGCCCGACGTGCTTCCCCGGAACCTCCAGGCGCAGCGGGACGTGGGCGCGGGGTACGCCGCGACGATTGCGGCGACGAGCGGGGAGGGCTACGAGGTCGGCCCCTCGTGTGAGATTTTATACTATTCCACGGGCTCCGCGAGGGACTTCCACCACGGGGCGCTGAATGCGACGTACTCGTGGAGCGTCGAGTTGCGGCCCAAGAGTGGTGGGAGCGGGGGGTCTGGATTCATTCTGGCGCCCGAGTTTATTTTGCCCACGGCCGAAGAGCACTGGGAGGGGATTAAGTATGTGCTGGGTGCTGTTGGTAAGTAAATGTGTACATGTCATGAACGAAGCGTTGCTGGGTAGACTACGTACGGCATGGTACATACAAAATGCTGGAGAAAAACGCATCACAGGGATGTTAGACGGGTATCAACTGCTATGGCCAGTCTTGTTTTCTTCTCGTTGCCTTGACTAATCTCTCAGTGATTCTGTGACTACCCCTCGCATTGTAGTGGCCTGCTTCTTTCCCTACATATATCCCTGGATGTCATGGTTCACTCAAATCAGGAGTTCGAGGGATGAGGATTCCAGATACATGATTATATAGATCTATATCTGACGCCTGTTGTCTACTACATGGTGAAGACATGCAAGCGTCAGTATGCGGTGTGATAATGTCATGCTCCGAGACTAGGGACACGCCATGCTGGGTTCGCAGATACATGACTTGGGGAAGGATGATATCTTTGAGTTGTTATACATTGATCATTTCTATATGTATAATACAATAGTCGGATGAGAGTCCAATGTCTACTCTACGCCTCCTCCTGCCCCGGCAACAGGCGGTAATCGTGAGCAAACGCCCAGAACCCGTGCTTCGAAAAGCGACCCGCCTTGTCCGCGGCCTGAGGCCTGGCCTGCTTGCGAACGGTATCGACCAGCTTCTTGGCCCCCTCAAAGTCTTGCCGGTGAACCAGAGACCGCAGCAGGGGGTCGAGCAGCGGCAAGCCGGGCCATATACCCCAATCATCAAGGTCGTAGACGACCTCGAGCGCGCTGTCGAGGTCGCCGGCGCGGTGGTAGTTCTTGATGACACTCTCCCAAAAGACGCGGTCCGTCAGGGCCCGCGTGCGCGCGCGGCGGTCCGCGACAAGGGCGCGCAGCGAGTCGAGGTCCGGCCGGCTCCGGTTGACGTAGTACTCGACCAGCATGGTGCACATCTCGGTCGACGGGTGGAGGCGGGATGCGCGGAGGTGGGAGAGCAGCGCGGCCACGGCGTGCTTTCCGCTGTCGCCTGCCCGGACGAGGACGTGGAGCATCTTACCGTAGGACTCCTGGTTGGGCTCGATGCCGCAGGCGGCCATCTCGGAGAACACCCTGTCCATCGTCTCCCGCTGCTCCTGCGGCGTCTGGTCTGGCAGGTCGCTAAGGGCCGCCTCCATGATGACGGTAAAGGTAGCCCCGTCCGGCGTGATGCCCGCCGTCTTCATGCTGGCGAGGATCCGATCCGCCTCCTCGTGGGCACCCTTTTTGAGCATGCGTGATAGGAGCATGTTGTAGGTGTAGATGTCGGGCGTGATGCCCTTGTCGGTCGCCCAGTCCAGTACGGTACGGATCACCTCCATGTTATCGCGCCGGAGCAAGCCGGAAATGGCCGAGTTCACGTTTGAGATGCCAGGCTCGACAGCCTTGCCTTGCGTGCCGTTCTTCACTGCCATGCTCCACAACCTATCCATCTCCTTGAGGGCGCTCAGACCGTCATGTTCGCCGCCCAAAAGACCGAGGGCGGAGATCCTGCTCGACCAGATCTGCTGGTCCAGCTTGACACCTGCGTTTGTGATGAATTTCCACAGGTTCTCAATCGGCTCTAACCGCCTGGCCTCTTTCCAGCCACTCATCATTGACGTGTACGTCCTGACCGTCGGAGCCATGCCCAGAGTCTTCATGTACGCCAGTATCTCCTCCGTCAGCTTAGAAAAGCTTACCCCTAACCCGTACTTGCTACACGCAAGGAACAGGATGTAATCGAAAAGGTCCGGAGAGCTCTGTAGTCTCAGGGTCCGGTCCTTGTCGTTGGCCGGGTTGATCAGGTCTCTCCAGGCCTGCTGGATGGCTGCAGTGTCGTTTGCACGGAAGACGGTCTCGAATCGCCGGTGCCACAGGGCATAGGAGAACCGCACCGCTGACTTGGCTTGGTCGGGTTTGCTTGGAGACACAGTATCCAACTCTTTCCACGTTCCAGGAGCTACTCGCGTCACCCTCCAGTCCGCCCGGGGCTGGACGTAGCTCCAGACTTCGGCATGGTCGCGAAAGAGCTCTCGCAGCATGTCTTTATCAAATTGCTTGACAATAGGATCCAGTGCTTCCAATAGCGGGTGTGCCTCCAACCTGGCCTTGGTGATCATATGCTTGGACTCAGACAGCAATACGTATGTGGCTACGAGGGCCGGTCCTAGGCCTGACGTTTCGTTGGCTGCAAAAAAGGGGAAGAGCGCGCGGAGGAGTCTATCGGGTCTCTCGGTCCCCAGCAAATCCCGCCTTGACGTGAGCCAAAACACGGGATCCGACTCGAGACCGCTGTCTGCGCGCTTCAAGCCCGAGAAGTGTTTCCAGCACTCCACCAGATCCTCTAGCAGCCGGTCCTCCACAGGCTGGTTCTCCGGGTCCGCTCGAGTTGAGATGATTGCTCGCAGGAGGCCATTGATGAGTTCCAGCCGCCTCACGACCCTCTTGTTATTTATATGAGTATACAGCTTGCATATGTCTACAGTTTGGGGGAGGTCTGCGGCCTCTATCGTCGCAAACTTGATTCTCGTGATTTGTTGTAAAGCTTGGCTGGCTATGGTTGTGGTAACCTGAGGCAGATAGACACCCGACTTTTGCGCGGTTACCAGAAGTTTCGCGGTTATGAACGTGTATGCCTGTGTTGCAAACTCCAAGTCGGAGATCTTTTGTTTCTGTCTCTGTTGTAAGAGTTGGCTGAGCTCGTCGGTAAGCGAGTAGAGCTGGTTGACGCCCGGGCCGCTGGTAGGAGTCGCCTGCGCGGGCTGCTTGTTGACGGTCTCTTCAAATAGGTCCAGGACTCTCTGCTTCGCAGTCTCGTTGCCGCTGCCCTTGGGCTTCCTCGTGGGTGTTCGTGGCGATTTGGGTTTCGGGGTTCGGGACGGCTGGTCCACGGCGGCGGACGGGAAGCTTGTCGTCGAGTTCGGTCGGACCGCGCCGATTGTCGCAGCGCCGGCCAGAAGCCTCAAACGACATTGGGCGCATACCGTCCTCGAGGCGAGCATGGCATTCGTCTAGCCTCCGGGTGCGTTGGCGGGTTGAAGCGATTTGGATAATGTTGCGAAAAAAAATACGTCGCGGCGTCACTGGAAAAGCTGCCGACAGCGGGAGGAACGCACGCCGATTTAGCGGCCCGGAATCCCTGCCGTTGGTCCCTGCGGCAGCGCTCCATTTGAGAAGCTTGGGCCACTTGCTGCCACAGAAGAGCTCTGAGACGAAGCCGTGAGACGATGAACTTTGCGACGCGTTGTCAAGGTACATGAGATGTTTTTTTATAGAATTGACGTACTTAAAGGTGAGTAAGAGGTACAGTTGAGACGATGTTTCAATAAAAGTGAATGTCAATTTAGTAAAGTGGTATATAGTCCCCGAACCCAATTCATCAAACGTCACGTTTTACATCTTGGAGATTGTAGCCTCAAACTTGCCGTCAATCTCGCGAATCTTCTGCGCCGATCTCTCGTACCCGGGCTCCTTCTTGAGCCTCTCAATGTACTCAAACACACGGGGATGCGCCGCCTTGGCAGAACCGCCGGGCCAGCTCCCCAGACCGTCGAAGCGGGGCTGCGCCGCGATGAGCGCAAAGCTGAGGAGGATGTCGGCGGCCGAGAGGTGCTCGCCGCAAATGTACTTTCCGCCGTTGGGCGACGTCTCGAGCATCTGGTCAATCATGGCCATGTGCTTCTTGGCGTTGGGGAAGACCATCATGCTGTAGATCCGGTTGGCCACCACCGACGTGATGGGCCGGACGAGGAAGGGCACGTTGTCGGATTTCAGGGCTGCAAGGCGTGAGCGACTACTTTAGAATCGTGACCTGACGTGGGACTTACCTCCAATGACTAGGGACAAGGTGAGGACCGGGAGCAGACTGCCCTCAATGTAGTGAAGCAGGTACTGGCACCTCGAGTACTCCTCGGTCTCGCCGCCAATCTTGCCCTCCTGGCCGTCCTTCCACTTCTTGGGGATGAGGTTGGTGTTCTGGCCAAAGTGCTCGCACAAGTACTGCGTCATGTAGCCACTCTCGGCCAGCTTGATGGACTCGCCAGAGCCGGTCGGGAATATCTCAATCACGGGCGACTTGCCCAAGGGGTGAACCTTTGCCAGTTCGGGAGGCGCCAAGAGCGTCTGCTTATTCCTGTGGAATACTTCGATTTCATAGTCAATCTTGAGCTCCTCGAGGAGCCACAGGATGTTCTGGGCTCTCGACTGCTCCAGCCTGATGAATTGGTCAGCTTGGAACATAGAGACTGAGTGAAACCTGGACTCGACTTACCAGTAGAGCTTCACCTTGGGCTTCTGTTCAGTTGCCGACATGTTGAGGATATTCGATTGGTTCCTTTGGCGATGAATTCTCAATTGAACGCCTCGCTGAATCTGAATTAATACCACAATACCAGTCGGAACATCAATGGTTCTTCCTGATAAGGTTTCCGGGCCTCGTCCCTCATTTTATACGTCACTAGCTCATCGGAAGGCAAAGGGTCCGGCCCCACCGAGCTCACCTTCAGGTGTTTCCCAAAACAAAAAGCACTTGGGCCATCTTCTGTCACAGGAACACAGCATGCGCAGCACGCAGAGAGCAGCCAATTCACAGCGCAAAACCACGGGATTGAGTCCCACATTTTAGGCTTGCCTCGGTCTCCAGGCCTCGGCATCGAACCAAAACTTCTCTAGACTGCACATCGAGTCGGCGGGACTGCTGGCTCCGAATTGCATACCACATTGAGTCGCCGATCTATCGATGTTTGGCCAGATTCGTAGCAAAGGTCTACAATTACTCCTGTCCCCTAGTGCGTGTTGAACCGTGTCTCTTCTAACACTGCCTTTTGACCCACCACAATGATTCGAACGCAGTTGGATGGCACAATGGTATTACTGTTGAGCTACCAGGTAAATGGAAGGCAAAAATTGGCAAAAGATTAAGCGTCAACGACAGGATTCGAACCTGCGCGACCGAAGCCACAGCCTTAGCAGGGCTGCCCATTAACCACTCTGGCACGTTGACTTATGATGCTTATGTAAACCTATTGAACTCACGCATACAAGGAGCGTAGAGCAGTGGGTCGGCTGGCCCAGTTGCCCAGCAGTATCGATCAGTTATCGTGCACTGTGCAACTGCCAACTTACATCGCCCAGAGTACAGTGCGTATAAGCCTACAGCCTGGCTAATGCCCATCACTTGATTGGCTGATGCCTGACAGCCGAGGCAAGCGCACGATTACCTAAGCAGCCAACTCCCAAGACTCGCGATGCATTGTGCCATCACGGAGCTTCACATTGACGAGCGAAGCAGCAATTGCCCCTCGGAACCCCGCAAACCCTTGTCGGCCGACCGAATCAATCCCTTTATCGATCAACCTGCGAACCGGTCCTGATCATCAATCAAGATGGCAGGCCACCACCACAGTGAGTGCTCCAATTGACGCCGAAAATATGACACAAACACTAACTCGATCAAACTAGAGCTGGCCCTTGACCCGGCCCTGGTCAAGTTGGCACGTACGTAGACCTTCTTCCTTCCTACCGACCCTTCGAATATGATGCGAGGCGATCAGATCCCGCGCTGTTGAGCTGTCGTTTGTCATGGAAAGACATGGAGAGGAGTAAGAGGGCTGACCTGAGAGCGACTCAACAGACATGCAGAGCAATAGACACATCTTCTTCCGCTGGACCCCGAGAACCGCCCGCGTCACCTTCATGTACGCCGTCTTTGTTCCATTCGTCGTCGGCTACATTGGCTACAAGACCGACGTGAGTTGCCCCTTCGGAACGCCGGGAGTCCATATACTGACGGACCTACAGGGTCTTTGGGATCTCCGGGCGAAGCGCAAGGGCGATTTGGTTTACGAGCGATAGACGGGGCATGATATCGAAGGGGGGCAAGTTGTGTAGATAGGCCCGGGATCTTGACCCGGAGTAGAAGAATGGGAACATTGAACAAGTACTTTTCTCATGTTCAACATGACAATCGCCAAATGTCTGTACTGCTTTCAATGCAGCTACGAATCCACCCAGCTTTTGAAGCAAGGCAATGCTTTTACAGCAAGCAGACATGACTGCACGACGCTTGCAAGTGACCATAACGCCGCCTGGTATACCTTCCAAACGAGCCATAACGCCGTGCCGAATCACAAACCCCAGTCCCGCGGGACCACAACCACAAGTTAAATCACCACCTATCGGGTCGTCTACCTCTACCCCGAGACCGGTCCGGTGGATCATCGGGCAGCCTCTCGCCCCTCCGCCACTCTCCCTCGGGGAACCCACCGTCTCCGAACCCAGAGCGCCGCCGGTCTCTGTCCCAGCCCTGCCGTCCCCCGAACCCAGCGTCCCGACGCGGCCCCTGCGACGGCGGACCGCCCATCAGGCCTCTCGCACCGCCAAACTGCCCCGCCACCCTATCATTCCGCGCAGTCAGGGCCGGCGCCACCGAGCCGTCCGGCAGCGGCGGCAGTATGGCGCACGAGACGTAATCACCGACCACGAAATTGACCTCCTTGAGCGTCTTGTCCTTGGCCGAGTCGGCGTCGTCGGACTGCTGGGCGCCGGCGCCGGCCGTAGCAACGCCAGGCATGGCAGCGTCATCTGCCCCCTCCTCCCCTTCTCCGTCGGCTGCCAGGAGCGCCTCCGCTGTGCCGTCCCCGAGTACAATGCTCCCCAGGTCCTTGACCATGAACCTTGGCCCCTGCGCTTGTCCGTGGTGGTGATGCCCTCCCGCGTTGGCTGCTGCATTTCGGGTGTCGGGGTAGATGAGGCGGAAGGCGAGCCTCGTGCCTACGCAAGGGCTCGGTAGCAGCGCCGGATCTTCAGCTGTGATGAGCTCGGCGAGCTCGTCCAAGGTACAGTCGGGCCATGTGTAGAGTGACAGGAAGGGCGGGAGGCTCCTCGAGGCGAACTCGTCTGTTCTATATTGGCGTGTCAGCATGGAGAACAGTACCACACATCAGGAAGACTCGACGTACCTGTGAAATGACCCATTCTTGTAGAAAAGCTGCAGAAGGAATGGCGTAGTATCCTCCCGCTGATGGGAAGCCATGCCGAAAGACCGCCCAGTATAGCCAACCTGAGCTTCGATGGGAGGAAGAAGAGACGACGTCGGGGAGTACGTATACGTATACTCGCTTGTGTGGAGTATTCGTAGTGAAAACAAGCTCGATGGTTCCTTTTTGACAAGCTCCAGGCCAACAGGTCCCCTTGCGACGAACAGGTACAAACAAGCACCGTTTTAGGCCCCCAAAAAAGGGAATCAAACGGCGGGGGGGGGTTAAGAAAAAAGAGGAGGGAAGGGAAGAGCGGGAACTAGTTCAAAACTGCTGCAGTTGCCGCGTGCGTTTGTGTGTGTAAGAAGAGTGTGTGAGTACGTATTGCGGTGTGTGAGTGGTCGTGGTGTGCGTGGACGAAGAGGTGCGGGCGTGCGTCCCTGCCGACTGGAGTCAAGGTCGTAGGCGAGTGAGGCTGTGCAAGTTAAGCGCGATCTTCCAAAGCTTCCATGCATGGATCGTCCACCACACGCAGGGCGCCGTTCCCGAAAACTAAGCTTTTTTTTAATTGTCAATCCGGCAACGCTTTATCCGGTTTTCTACCGTTCTCGTTTGACGACATCTCATCCACGTGGAGGCGAGATCTGCTCTGGAACAACACACGACGGGAAGACTGGTGATACCCACGACCGAACGGACCCACCCGAGACACACGAGACACACGAGACACCGCAGTCAGCTACAGCGACAGCAGACCGACGCCAAGATGGACTTTGCAGCCCTCATGTCCAAGGAGCTGGACAAGTCCAAGAAGCCCACTTCCACAGCAGTAGCAGCCTCCTCATCGAAATACATCAAACGAGCCGACGTCGAAGCGAAGCGCAGGGAAGACTATCTGGCAGAACAAGCCCGCATCGAGGCCGAGCGGGAAGCCAAGGCGGCCGCAAAACGCAAGCGCGAGGAAGACGACGCGGCAGAGAACAAGATCCGCGAGGAGAAGCGACAAAAGCTCGCCGAGGAGTCACGGCGGCGGCGCGAGGAAAAGGAGGCTGAGGAAGAACGCGCGCGGCGGAAGCGGCTGGGGCTGCCCGAGCTCATCAAGGCTACTGCTGAAGACGACGACGATGCCGCCCTCGAAGAGGGCATGGAGGATATCCCCGACGGACAACTCGCCGAGAAGCTGCGCGCGCTGGGCGAGCCGGCGACGCTCTTTGGCGAGGGCCACGGCGCGAGGCTGAGGCGGTACAGGCGGCTCACGACGGTGGTGACAAAGGGGCCCATCCCAACGACGCTGCAGCTCGTGGAGGAGAAGGACATGAAGGTGGACGCGGCGGTGCCCAAGGACAAGGAGGGTCGGCGGTGGCTGTTCCGGCAGCTGGCTTCCTACTTCACCATGGTCCTGGCCGAGTACGAAAAGGCAATGGAGGCGGAGCGGCGCGACACGACGGCCAGCAAGACGGCGTACAGCGCCATGGTGCAGAGCCGCGAGAACCTGAAGCCGGTATGTTCCCACGCACACACACACACACACACACACACACACACACACACACATCTATCAGACAAGCATAGACTAAACTATCGTTACAGCTCTTCCGCAAATTCGAAAAGTACGACCTCGACGACGACCTCCTCGCGCCCATTATCGAAATCGTCAAAGCCGCACAGGAACGCCGTTATGTCGACGCAAACGACGGCTACCTCCGCCTCTCCATCGGCAAGGCCGCCTGGCCCATCGGCGTCACCATGGTCGGCATCCACGAGCGCAGCGCCCGCGAGAAGCTGCACAACGGCGAGCGCGGGCACGTCATGGGCGACGAGGTCACGCGCAAATACCTGCAGAGCATCAAGCGCCTCCTCACTTTTGCGCAGGTCCGCTGGCCGCCCACCGACGTCCGGCAGTTGATGGGATGATTTTTTGTTACACACGAATTACTGTGCGCGCGCCCGAGGATTACGAATACATCACGATCGCCGAGTCACTCCATTTGGTGTCAATTGCGCCCTGCCATCTTAGTTCCCCTCCTGAGGACGCACAACGAAGGGTGGCCCCAGATGGAGAGACAAGGGGAAGACAAAAAACTCTTTTCGAGACTCCTGGGCGTGTCCCGGATCGCGAATCCGGATGGAACTCGAACGGTGGTTGAGGGTGGGACAACGGAAACTGGGCAAAGTCGCATGCCATGCCCCCCCTCTAACCCCCTTACTGCTACATCCTCTCCCCCCTCTTCTTGTCACTTCTGGAGCCATCATTATGCCCATTGTTACTATCTTGCTCATACGTCTCTTTTACATTTTTGGCGGATGTATTTTACTCCCGGTTCGATCGGGAATCAATTCCACCACACGGAGGATACCTCGGAGAGAGAGAGAGAAGGGAGAGGGGCAACCAGAAACCGTCAGCAAGGCGAAAGCGAAGCGCGATTATGGGCCATGCTGTCTGTGCCTGGCTCGCCTGGGTGGATGATGGATCCAAAATGATCCATGCATCATTGACGATGTCGGATATGGGGAGGGGGGGGAGGACTAGGTAAGGAGGGGGGCTAGAAAGAAACCCCCCCCCCCTTCCCTGCAACAGAAAGACCAGGGGGGAACGAACTGCTTGAGGAAAAACCTACGGACTGCCTGATGCAGGTTAGGTGCGTGTAGGGAACAGCAGCAAAAAGAGAGAATAATAATGCCAAAACCCACCACAAAGAAAAAAAAGTTGAGCCATACTTTTTTTTTGTTGATCACACACCCTCTCCTCCCCCCTCTCCACCTTCCAGGGATTTGGAGCAAGGTCTCCAAAAGGAAAACCCTGTCTGATGAAATGCTGGTCTTTTGCGTGTGAGTGAGAGAAGCGCCGTGCGGGCCCTCCACCCCATCCCTACCCTTGACACTTTGAGTCTTGACCCCCCCCCCCCCACCCCCTTCTCTCTTCCTCGGCTGGAGCCCCATTTTGTAGACTCACCGGCTCTTATTTGCGGTATCCTTTTTTTTTTCTTTCTTTTTTCGGGTGATCATTTGGGTGGACGCATTGGGGGGGATCTTTTACCCTGCGAATATGTAGACAAAGGGGGAGTTATTTCTAGCAAAACGGGGAAAACCTAGAAAAAGTCCACAAGATTGGAGACCAGGTAATCGATCATTGCACATTCTTTTTTTATTTATTTATAAACACCTCAAAAAAAGGCTTCTGCTAGTCTGTATCTGCCTCCATACTTTATTATCCTTTGAAGAGATGGGAGGGGAGGGGAACTGAGTGACTACCCAGCCAGCTAGGCGAGGAAACTAAACTGGCACTGTGCAGGGAAGCAACTTTTGCCAAGACCCCGAGGGCGATATAAGGGTCGGGTATCGTTCATAAATCCGTCGGCAGGGTAAGCTTAACTTTCTGCGTTAGGCCCGAAAAGAACAACCAGCCGTAGAAACTGAACCGGTGACGGGATTGACCACAGTTCGGGCGAAGGACGGAGTACAATCAGGTGGCTTGCATAATCCATACTGCGAGAGACGGTGCATTATTCCCGACCATTCCCACGCACGACAAGACAAGACGCTTCAATCGACGGAAAACCATATTCTCTTGACACATTTCTATGCCTGCTGCGTAAGCCTCAATCTATCGGCCCCGGGGATCCCGCGATCAACACCGCCGCCTGTTGCTTTAGCCGCTCCACCGTCCCAGCCGCTGCGTGAAGCTCCATGCCCGATCCCAGTGGCTAATGACATGCCTAGCACAAAAGTGCCATGACGTCTGAATGATCCCACGACACAAAAGACGTGTTGGCAGGCGTACGTATGCTTTTCCTGTGAGATGGCCAATGACCTGTCGCGAGACCGCCCAGTCTGCACCTCTGCATTGGCAGTCGACCACCCGAGTATTTTAGGCTTTTGCGACTACGGCGCCAAGGTGGATCACCAAAAGTGCCCCGGTTGTCAGCATTCCAGTTGCATGCGCGCGGCGTGCTGCAGCTCTCGCGTCCGACCCACGGACAAGCACAACCACTCGGCCGGTATCACCGTCACCGTCACCGTCACCGCGCGGCCCGTCGCCGCCGCATCGGAGGGCCATCAGCTCATGTTGTCGCCGCCCGCGCCGCCGGCCACCGTCGGTCGGTTGGACTGCTCAAACCAGAGCTCATCGATGCCCTGCGCACCGGCATGGGCATTACCCTTGCGCATGGTCTTGACCTCCATATCTGCCGCAATGATACTCATACGCCGGATCCGCTCCGTGGCGTCCCGCTCGTAGGCATCAATCGTGTCGAGGACCATCCTTTGCAGCGTGGCTCGGGGGTTCGGAGACACGGCGACCAACGTCTTGTGGCTCGTGCGTTAGCACACGGTGCGATTTTCACACTTTCGGGGGCCGCGGAAACTCACCTTGTCAATTGTGTTGATGCGGGCCTGCAAAACCCCGCCCCGGATCATGGCGACGAGCTCGTCAATGAGCGGCTTGCCGGGTACGGCAAATGCATCCTCGAGGCTGCTTAGGGTGACGCAGGAGAAGGGGATAAAGTACTGCACGATACACTTGCTCCGGATCTGCGAGTAGAGCGTCGGGACGTGCTTCTGGAGGTAGATGTCGAGTAGGTAGTCTGCGCGATACGCCTCCAGGATGGCCAGACACGCCGAGTACCGGCCATTCACAAAGAGCGAAATGGCCTTGCGGATGTGAGGTTCCAGTTCCAAGAACGTCCTAAAGTTCTGGTTGTCGAGGACACGAGCCTGGAGCTCTTTCCGGTCCATGGTTGCCAAAGCCAGGAGGCCACCGTACACTGCCACATCGTTGGGGCTCGCGATATTGCTGTAGTCCACTCCCTCTTTGCCGGCATCCGTCTGTAGGAAGCTTTTGGCCGCCTCGTCAAACTTCTCGAGCCCCATGAGGGCGACGCCCTGGACGATCTTGACGTAGGGTTGCAAGCCCTTTTCTTCGTCGGCGTTCTGGACACCCGTGATCTTGCTCAGATTGGCAATGACCATGGGCCATTCACGACGCTGTAGCGTCACGTTGACGAGATGCTTGCCAACGTCGATGATGTGCTTGGATGTGCTCACGTCTGGACGCATC